TTTTTAAATAAAAATATTAATTTAAAAAAATTTATTTAAAAAATATTAATTTTTAATTTTTTTTGATATATTTAAATAAAATAAATAAATAGAGTGAAGTGACAAACTGTTGAAAAATGCAAACGAGGAGCGGGTTTGAGCTTACTCTTTTTGAGATCCTATAATTAATTATTGACAGTTGATAATGAATAATTAATGATTGATAGATAATAATTAATAATTAATTATTAATAATTGATAACTAATAATTAATAATTATTATTTATAATTAATGTTTTTTTTTTTTTGAACATTTTGACACGGGCGGATTCGAAACCCGTTCAAGGGAAGGGAGAATGCACCTAACAAGGTGGCTAATGCCAGTGGGCCTCTAGGCCCAGATGCTATTTATAATTAATGTTTGATAAAAGAATTAGTAGCTGTTTTCATTAAAGAGTTAAATTATTATTAAGAATATATTTTATGTTAGTGAAATTAATTTATCTTTTTATAATAATAATAAAAAATAAATAAATAAATAATAAAATTTTATAACTTATACCTTACTAATACACTTAGAATGTTAAATCAGTTATGAGAATAGATAAATTTTTCATCAAATCTTACTATAACGTTTAAGAGAATCAAGAAATGAGATGATATTTATCTCACTTTATATCCGATCCCACCTCCTCCAATGAGATTAATTGACATTATATTTAATTTTCCATTTTGTACCTTCAATAGCATTTTCCCCCCGCGAAATTTTGTGAAAAATTTTCCCCACCCCGTGGGGTCCCGCGAGGATCTCTATCCCCGCAAAAATTAAAATAAATATAAATTAATTTTATTTTAAATTTAATTCATCTTTTAAATTTAAATTCAAATTCAAACCCAAACACAAACTCAAACTCAAGTTCAAACTCAAACTCAAGTTCAAACTCAATTCAATCAAAATTAAATTTAACCCAATTTTACCTAACTCAACCCAACCCAATCCATAAAAATTAACCAAATTCATTCCCCTATTTACATTTAACCTTAACCCTAATTCATTTTTCAATTTTTCTTTTCACCTTCCCCTCTATTGTTGGTTTAATTTTTATTTATGCTTTAGTTTAGCTTGGATTAATCTTTGTTTATATTTGGAACAAATTTGTTAATTGTTGGTTTAGTTATTTATGTTGAATTGATTTTTATTTATATTTGGACAATTTATATTTGATTTTATAGTTAAAAATTTTAAT